GCGCATTCTATACTTTGAATAAATTAGACATTTTTATCAAGGTGTATATTAAAATTTTTGAGTAGTAGGATAATTTTATTCCATTGGTCTTACATTACTTTTGTTTATAAGCAGGTTTTCGAGTAAACCGGTAGATCATATATATAACATATATTCACCCTATTTCGTTTAAGATGATCTCATATATATATGAACTACTGATAACCTCAGAAGCCTACTTATAAACGAAAGAATAAGTAATGTAGTCTATTGCTATAACACATACAATTTTGCTTCATTAATAATCCCACTATAAAATGTGATGTGGAAAATACCCTTTGAATTAACAGCACTAGTGGCAATGTGGCGTAATGGTTAACGTGTAGAGTTTATACGCTGCACTGTCATGTTTCGAGTCCCGCTGGTGGTGTTGCTAAGTCTTAGACAAGTTTAAAGCTACATTTACCCTGGATGAGATTTCAAGATGAGAAAACAAGGTCAACTTATATAATTATTGGAAAATTCAACTACCAGTCACCTTATCACCTTAAACGACATCGGGTGATTACGCCTGATATATTTGATCTACAGGTGGTCATATATTCCTGCTTATTAATGAAAAAAAATTATTATCTTCTGACTGAATAACTGCTGGAAAAATTAATGTATATGGTTTCCGTGCTAAACCTTTTTAGTTACTCGCTCCTAATTGCCTTATCCACTTGCGACCAAATATTCTACTTCTAATAATATCCTCGTAAGTTAGCAGATCGACTTTAAAAGCTTCTGGAGGAGGCCTGGCACTCCTTTCATAACGAAATATGGTTATTGCTGGACCTGAGACAAAAAGTAAGTTCAACTTTGGCTCAAATCGACCTAGGACTATGAGGCAGAGGATGTGTGTAAAGCCTGTCCTCGAATGGCAAGTATTTAAGCGTCTGATTTAATCAAATGGTTCTTTCATTTATTGATAACTTGCGGCATCAGTGTCTTGCAGTTGAATTTCACTTTCATACTGAAAGAATCCTACCTGCTCTCCGATGGCGCCTGTTGTAACGATTTTTTACTATCCCTAAGGTCATTCTAGGCCGGGTCTTTCCACACAACTAGAGCCTTTTTCTATGATCTATTGTTCTTAGTTTCCCAAAAAGCTTGGATATTTTTGGGGAAGCTTTCACTTTGGACTATATCGAGGTTCTTCTATGGTTAACAAACTGGTATCAGAACACAAACATACTTGTTATTCTATCATTGATCTTTTCGTATAAAATTTACCAACCAAGACATCCAATGATTATTCGCTGCCTACTTAACCTTCGATTGTTTCCATCTAGCTCGACTTTCAACCATAAGCCGTTTTTGCACAATCACCATATTCCCCCCTATATTTATGTTCTCGTCCACTTCGAATTCTATCATTCTAGTTTGTTTTTCGCAGCTTACGTTCTACCTGACCATCTTTTCCTCAATTTCCTCCAGTATGGAACGTGAATCGGCCGAACAGGCTCGTCTGCTTGCCGAACATGAGCGTCGTCGAGCTGACTTCAATGAAGCCCAAATAGCCAAGCCGCAACACCAGAACACTCAACAGCAGTTAGCCCCGTTAGTTAGTTCCCTTAAGACGGAAGACTTGATGGGGAAACCAAATGAAACTAGATTTAAATTGACTAACCAACTGGCTAGTCAGGGCGCGGCCTGTCGGGCGGAAGGACACGAGGCCACAATCGCCAGACAGCGTGCAGCAATGACTGAATTACGGCAGCGAATGAGGGATGCCCAACTTTTGCAAAGCCCCTATGCGCAGAATGCTCTGTCTAGTGAGTTTGTTGCCATCTCTTTTGACCTATAAATTAGGCGTTTTCTCCGAAATACTCACAAATCTTTTGTCTATGTTTCCATTTAAACAATCCCATATTCTTGTTAAGACACTGGGGCAGACAAGTCTTCCGCAATGGCTCGCGAACTTATCAGTCTCCGACGCGAACTTGCTGAGCTGAGGGCACAACGAATGGTGTCAGAAACTTTGCCGCCAAATATCTTCACTTATGCAGGGCTTCCCACAGGTGTACAGAATCCAGCCATAACAGCTAACCAAATAGGTCAGTCGTAGTGTACTCATCTGCGAAAATTCAGTTTAAAATCAAGCGATGACTTTGACTAATTTTGCAATCTTACTCAATTTGTTCTGTTCGACATACGTGGTTAACATGCAATTCTGCAAATTTAAACGAGGAATAGCTGGAGTGTATTCACCCTATTTTGTTTAAGGTGGTAAGGAGACTGGTTGTTACATTTTTTCCAAAATGCTATGAGTTAGCCTTACGGTTCCATTGAATTTCATACGGCAGTGCTTCCCCTAAAGAAATTCTCATCCAAAGTTGACTTTAGTTTTGATTTTGCGTAGTGGTCAATTTTTTAAGGTTATACGCTGTACCATCAAGGTAGGAGTCCCACTGTAGGTGTTTATAGGACCAAGGTGACGTCGAAACTGCAGCCCACTCTAGATGAGAATACCTTTTCGGAACGCAAGGCTATGCTAAATTCATTAGAAATGTGAGGTCTACTCATATCATTATGGGTAAAATTCAACTACCAGTACCCTTTTCACCTTTAACAAAATAGGGTGAATACACTTTATATAATTATGATCTACTGGTAATCTCGACAAACCTACTTATAAAAGAAACGGAATAGGAGATGGGTTTCGATGCATCGCCTGAGATAACATTGTCGTTGTCGTTATTTTGGCACAGAAAAGAACTAAGTAGAACATTCTATGTGCATTATTTATATAAATTTTCATCAGCTGTTATTATTATATATAGTATTTAGGATAAGGCCGGATAGTCATAAAGTTAGCCTAAAGCTTTTTCAAGAATGAATTCTGGGCTTGCTGATGTCCGTCATATAAGAGACCAAATACAAGTTTACTTAAATTTTCCAATGTATCTAACTTATCATTGCTTCCCTAAAGGTATTATGATTCAGGGCTGATTCTAGTTTTGTCCTCACCTAAGTCTCATAGGCACCCCTAGCGGCATTCGAAACCTGATAGTGCAGTGTTTAATCTCGGCCTGTTAACGACTAAGCCAGACTGCCATGAGTCCTTTTGAGTCACATGACAGGTGTGACTTTTAAGGAAGGTTATGTATCTTGCCATATCACGCTCTTACTTATAAACAAAAAATAAGTAATGTAGTTTATTGCTATAGTAAATACGACTTTGTTACATTGACAGTATGTGATATGGGAAAAGGCTTGGTTTGCTTTGAAAGTTAAATCTGCTTTGTGACCCGTGGACTTTTGTAGAGGTCTGGCGTATTGGTTAACTTGGAAATATTATACACTGCACTACCAGGTTTCAAGCCCTGCTGGGGGTGTTTATGAGACGTAGGCAAGCTCGAGACTGCAGTCCTTTTGTGGATAAGAAAACCTTATGAGATGCACGGCTATGTGAAATTCAATGGAGACGTAAGGCCTATTTACATAAATGCGAGAAAATTTAACTACCAGCCTTTCATCTCCTTAAACGAACTAGGAAGAGTACAGCTCTTATATCATATCTACTGATAATCAAGAAAACCTAATTATGAAACGAAACAGAATAAGATCAGGAAGGATGTATCGCGGACTCCGTCAACCTGAACGTCTTTTAAGGCCAAAAGGCTGCAGAACAACAGGAATCAGGCGTTGTTTTCCGGTGTGATCTAATCTCATTACTATGTGCTCCTAAATGCAGCCTCGACATAGCTATAACCAGCAACACTAATTTAGTAACTGTGTATGATCCCAAGAATGCCCAGTCAGCTCGAATTTTGCTAAATATATACGTTATATTTTATAGATCTCCATTGTTATTTATGATGATAAACTAGTTGATAGACGCATTATTAAATCTAAGGCTTATAGTATGTATCTGATCCCATTAGCACTATTTTCATATATTGCTTATATATTATAGATGTGTGTATATAAATATAGTTATTCCTTAACACCGGATATTTCCTTTTAGCTGCCCTTGCAGATAAAGATTCTGAAGACAGACCAGTCACGATAACGAGTCCAGAACAGCGTAGTTTAGTTATGAGCCGGAACTTCGAGCAGAGTGGACTGAAAGATGTTATGAATGCTTTAAGTGTAAGTCAAAAACAGTAGATACTTTCATTATTTTCTTTTAAAAATTCATCATAAGGGATTAATTGAGCTTGGCTTGAGGCAAATTCTGAAGCAAATTTTGAATCCTTTAATAATATAGCATCAGTAAAAATGTACAAGGTCAGCTAACAACACTGTATTGATGGATCTGTCAACAACATAACTGTACACGGCTGGGCAAGATGCTTCATTCCGATAAAACAAGGAGAAATATAATAATTTAATAAAGCAGTAATTAATTATCAAATTTTGGACTATAAATACACCCTTTAAAACAATATATCCAGTATTTATGCTCGAGCTTCTTGGTCTCGATCCGTCATTATGGTCAAGGGAGCCATTAACAACGATTGTTGGATAAGATACAACTAAAGACAGGCTTTTTATCCAACCTTGAATCGAATCCGCTCCAAAACTATCTAGGCTAAATAAGCTATTGCCTGGCTCAACCAGACTATGTATATAAGTAGAGTTTCGAGACTGCCAGTAAATCAGTTATATATGTGATATGACCGAATTCATCAACTATATGTGGATATCTCTCAATAGAATAATTATGAGTTCGTTTTAATTTTCACGAAGTTTTCTGCTAGGCTTTGCCCGAGTCTTTCGGCAACTTGAAGTGTGCAATATTCGTCGCCCGTTCCCCACTGTCCTAAATTTACTTAAAGATACATCACAAAATTTGATTTTAAAAATATTTGTTCTTTAAAACTTTTATTAAGCTCAATGCAACTTTTTACAATGCTCTGCGCCACAAGTTATAAGTTGGTCCGCGACAAATCACTCTGCCACTGCGGTACAAATAAGTTCCCACTACTATAATTGTGGACTTAACGACACCGGCATCAGGAGACTGTTAAAATTTTGATTCCGAGTGATTTCGTTCCCTTTTGTGCGGAGGTACAAACATAATGCTGATCTAAAGTGAAGTGAAACGGCGTGCGGCAAAATTGTACAGGTTAGGGGCAGGCTCAATAAGATGTTCTGGCCCCAGAGAAGGTAGTGCCGCGGAAAGATAATGAGCTGTGTATCAGCACCCTCATTCCAAGGAATTTGGTCTCATATTGAGCTTAAGTGCAATTTAAAGTGTACAGTTTGGTAAAACTTGCTATAATTAAAGTTGAACTTCAGTAAAAACGAGCTATGCTTGGTCAAATATTTCGTGGTAACTTCATGTGATATTACTGGCTTGCCTCACGATCCAATGTTGGCATAAGATTTTAGTTGTCACTGCAGACGTTTGCTTAGCATTGCTGTGCTTCCTTATTTTATTCCTCAGTTGGCCATATATCAGCATGAATTACTCAAAGAATTGGTTTCTCCATTCATAAAATGATGACCCTTTACCCTTTGCAACACCACCACAGAGAGATATGGTGTTCTTCGGCTAAGTGGGCATCAAATTTTTCAGCTTAATTATCCTACTTTTCTTAAAGGTCGAAAGTGTGGAAGCTTTAATAGAGTATCTTCAATTTCCTCCTCCAAAAAGCCCACAATTGCCAATGCAATTATTTAAATGACGATTGTAACTAAGATCTCAGAGAGCAATAGATATTCATGGAAATGCCTGATCATTACTTTGTACGAAATATTATATGACAAGGAGAGTAAAAGTGATTTCCCAAATGATTTGAAGGGAACGCTTTATTTTTTCGTCTGGCAATCCACAAGGCATTTTTCATTCGGGCTAAAATGCACTTCCATCTTTTCCCATGTAAATCACTCACTCATAAATAATTACTTAGTATCAGATTCACTACATCGGCGACCGGCTTGGAGTTCAAAGAAACACTTCACCAAGCCTCACTAATGCTTTCTTAGAAGATACTCAAAAATGAACCCAAATTTTAATATAAATTTAGGACAAGTCAGGGAATTCTCAATTCAATGCGGTTTCAAAATAATTCATGCGCCCAAGTTAGCCTGACGCTATATTTAATATTTTATTACTAGCGAGACAATGCAGGCACAATTTCAGTTATGCAAACTTCATTCAA